CTCCTCTCCTCTCCTCTCCTCTCCTCTCCTCTCCTCTCCTCTCCTCTTCTCTCCTCTCCTCTCCTCTTCTTTTCGACTACTTGTAAGTGGCCCCTGCCTTAAGAGACAGTTCAGAGTGACCTCTAGCCTCTGGCTTCTGAGTCACCTGGACCCAGAGCCATTTAGGCTTTATCCACACCCTTTCTGTAGAGAAGAGATGTTTTCCTATAGGCCTTGCAGTGTCACCGTTTCATTAACACCCTGCCTGTAGAGAGGAGACATCCTTCCATAGGCCCTGCTATGTTTATTCGCTATTTTCACATTTCCAGCTATGGTATAAACCCTCAAACTATCCCTGCCACTGCTACTGCTAGTCTCACAGAAACTGACAAGATTAGCCGGATCCACGAGGCAGCTGCTTTCAATGCCAGCCTTTGTTCCCCACTATGGCTTGTGGCACGGTGGCTCAGGGACAGGGCAGATCATGCCTCTAGGTCTCTCTTGTTATTATGTTTAAAACTCCCAAAGCTCAAAAAACGTGGCTTTTCCATATAACATGTGACCACTGCTGTTTTTACTATGGTCAGGTGAACTTACCACCATCTTAACTGAGGTCAGGTGACTTCACCACCATCTTAACTGAGAGCAAGGTCAGGTGACCAATCCCCGCCACCTTTACTAAGGTATACCCTGGTTTACCTATGTTTTTTGTCTCTAAATTCCCTCTTGTTGACTCTATTACGTGTGTTTTGGGCAGTGGCATGCTGTTGGTAGGACCCACCAAGAGCATCCACTTTGCCCAATTGCTCTTCACTGTGTGTATGTGCATACATGTAACTTAAATGCACCTATGTTTAACTGTTAAATGTTATAATTATCTGTTCATTGTATCTCATTTCAGACTACAAAGCAATAAACCTCATGTTTTAAATTGGAATGTACTTTTTAGTTTCTTAATCCAACCCTGCTTTAAAATATATTAAGCTGTTCTCCACTATTGTCAGTTCTGCTGTTAACCTTCTATTGTAAGCAGTTTTTTCTTCTTTCTGTCTTTTTACGAGTATAAATCTGACCTGTTAGTTTGAGAGCCAGTACAGTCAAGCTCAGACCCAGCTCTCCAGGCAGAGTCTATACTGTAGTTTTACCTGATAAACAGCCCTCAACTGCTCAGAGATCTGGG